CGGGGTGGGGGACACTCCCTGGCCCTGGAGCACCCGCGTCCCTTTGCTCTTTTGGTGTTAAAGACACTAAAGTACATATATTTGAGCGCTTTGCTGTGCAGCCCTTCCTGCACGGAGCCAGGGATGCTGCGAGCATCCTCCAGCGTGTCCCAGCCCGGGGACGAGGATGGGGGTCCCGATGTCTCCCTGGTCCCCTGTCTCCCCCTGGTCCCATCTGGGTCCCACCACGTGAAAACCAAAGGTGTCGGGGGGATCCCGGGGAACACCCCGCACTCCCCAGCAGCACAACCCTCTCACGGGAGGTGTTGCGGGGGCCCGGGGCCTCCCTCCCAGCCCCAAAAAGCTGCTGGACCGGCTGGGAGGTCGGGGAGCATCGTCTTCCTACACAGCCCAGCCACACTGCAATTTTGGGTGCTGTCGAAATCGGTTAACTCCTGGGAGGCCGGTGGGACCCCCGGCGTCCTCCTACCACCCACGGGCCCTGAGACACAGCAGGGAGGGGGGGATGGCTCCCTCATTCCCCCTTCCCCCCCCCAGTTTAACCAGCCTGGGCTGCTGGTGTCCCCACACCGCCAGGTCAAGGGCCAGCGAGAGCCCTCGGCTCGTTTTTCACGTCGGCCGGCCCCAGTTTTTGGCTAATTACAGGTCTGGGGCTGGTTCCCAGGCTGGGAGCGCTCGGGGCCGGGTGGAGGCCAAGCGTCGGGGCCCCTCACTGGCCTCCCCCCGGGAACCGGCTGGGCTCCCCGACACCGCCGGGGGGCCTCCCCCAGCTCAGCTGGGACCTGCTGAGCAAATTGCGACCTGCCAGGGGCCACAGACCCTGTCCTCGGTGGCCCCAAGGCAGCACCCACCTTTGCTTCTACAGGATGCCATGATGGGGATGGGTCCGAGGGGTGGGCGAGGGTCTGGGGGGGGCTTACAGGGGTTAATCCCCTTGGCGGGGCTCTGTGCCAGGCTCTGCTCCAGGTGACATGTCCCGGGCAAACAGGTTCTGCTTTGCACAGCCCAACCTCCCACAGCAGCCAGCGCTTTCCCACAGCAGAGCCCTTGCAAACTCGTTACATCCCACACCGGTCCCTGCAACCCCATGGGCTCCGCACCGGGTGCTCCGCGATCCCGGCACGCGATGGCGGCACGGGGAAGATTGCTTCCCTGCCCGTGCCACAGTTTCCCCAGAGCCTCGCAGCTCCTAGCACCCCGGGAGCCGGGATTTGGCCATACCGGGGCTCGGGGCTGACATGTCCCCCACGTCCCCAACTGGGGACCCCACTGAACCGGGGTGGCACGTCCTGAGTCACGGCACGTTTCCTCCCGGCATCCCGGCGTTTCCCATCAAAGGCCGGCTCCTGCCCAGCCCTGCTGCTCTTGATCTGATGAGCTCATAGCCCAGGGTGCCATGACTGTATTTTATTGTAATTATTTTTCATGTCGAAACTCGCGCTGGCGGAGGGGAGGGGATGGGGGGGACCCCAGTGACACCCCAGGACTGTCCCCGTGCCGCTGCCCCCGCTCCGATGCTGCTTTAGGAGACGCCCCACCACACATCACCCCCCCACACACACACTTGGGATGCAGAGGAGAGCTACACAAGGGCCTCGGGGACGGGTTTTGGGGCACTGTGGGTTTGCACCAAAGGGGTGGGACACCCCCGCTGTGGGGTCGGGGCCTCGGTGTCCCCCAGGGAGCCCCCACCCCCCGGGGGGGGGCCTGCCAAACCCTTCTTCCCGCCGAGGCAGAGCCCACCCATGGGCTGCAGTTTGGCAGCCGCCGAGGGACGGGGCTCGCTGGGAACCCCGAGACCCTATCGCAGGGGTGG